AGAATTAGCTCCTTCAATTAAATAGTCAAAAATTGTTTATACTAATGCCACGAATTGGAGCAATCGATAAACATTTACCTTGCCAGATGGCACTTGGACATTCAAAGCTATTTCTTCTTCCGAAATGAGAGCCCAAACATGTGGCAACGCAATCAGGTAGACACAAAACTGGATAGTCGTTCGCATTTGAAAAGCGTTAGAGGGGAGATTTGTACTAAGAAATCAATCTGCCAGGTGTTACGATATGGTGAATAACACGACCTGAAAACTAGAATAGGTGACAATAAGATCTTTACTTTCTGAAAGGCACGGAGTAATCACAACATATGCGTAAATACACAAGCAAACAAGATTATGCATTCAAGACATTGCACAACACAGGAATATTATAACAAATAGAGTATTTGAGTCTTCATCAAGCAGAAGCATAGAATTATGCCTATATGAGTATTCGGAAGTAGTTCAACAGACTAGTACCCGGTTTTTCCACTTCTTATGAGTCGCCCTAGCTTAGAGTTGTCCTCAAACATACTTCGGATCATGTAGACCTAGAAAAAAGTAGAGAGACTGTTTCTTCCCCTCTTCTTTTGATCAAAGACTGCGGACAATTGAACTAACCTGCAATGCACCAACACCTAAGAGAACTAGAGTATGCGTACAGCTCCAGAATGTTACCCGATCCAAGTTAGCCACCATGATAGCACGATCGCGAGCTTCATGAGCTCGTAAAAGAGCCTAGATCATGTAAAGTGAGCGCAAACTCTATAATCTTGCACTTTAGTGCATGTCACAGTCATTCAGTCATTACCATAGAAAGCAAATGTCACACACAAGAAGTCTACTGATCTCCGACTTTTGTGAATTCACCACTGGGTCTACTACTTCATACAACCTAATTAAAAAGTTGCTTGATGACCGAAAACTTCTGTGATTTTCAAATCAGACAAGATACTGCTTGCGTTCGCGAAAGTATATGGAAAAATCTTATATATAAAGTGAATGTCTGTTTGTATGTATGTCTGTCTGTGTGTACGTA